GGGCAGGTCGGGACCCGCCTGCCCGGTCCCGGCTCCGGGTGTCCCGGTGCTGCCGGTCGGTGCCACCGCGGGGGGTGGTTGTGCCGGGGTGGGGACACCGGCCCGGTCTGTGTCACCCTGCGGCTCTGGGAGCTCCCCGGGTCAGTTGGCAGCAGCCCTCGGGTTTGGGATGGAGGGCATGGAATCGTGGAATGGGTTAGGATGGAGGGACCTTAAAGCTCCTCCAGTCCCACCCCCCCATGGGCAGGGACACCTCCCAGCAGCCCAGGCTGCTCCAAGCCCCATCCAACCTGCCCTTCAACACCCCCAGGGATGGGGCAGCCACAGCTTCCCTGGGCAGCCCAGGCCAGGGTCTCTCCATCCTCACAGTGAAGTTTCCTCCAAATATCTTCTAAATTTCCCTTTTTTCCCTTTCAATCCACTAAGGATGCTTTGGCTGGGGAGGGGCTGAGCGGGCTCCTCACCACACAGGGATGGGGAGGGGGTAAACCCTCCTGGAGACCCCACCTGGAATACTGGGTGTGGTTCTGGAGCCCTCAGCACAGGAAGGACACAGAGCTGTTGGAGAGGGACTAGAGGAGGCCATGGAGGCACCATGGGAGGGCTGGAGCAGCTCTGGAGCCAGGCTGGGAGAGTTGGGGTGTTGAGCCTGGAGAGGAGAAGGCTCCAGGGAGACCTTAGAGCAGCTTCCAGGGCCTGAAGGGGCTCCAGGAAAGCTGGGGAGGGACTTGGGCCAAGGGCAGGGAGGGATGGGATGAGGGGGAGGGATGAAAAGTGGGAGAGGGAGCTGGAGGTTGGAGCTGAGGAGGGAATTGTGGAGTGTGAGGGTGGGGAGAGCCTGGGCCAGGGAAGCTGTGGAAGTTTTGGATGTCTCATCCCTTGAAGTGTCCAAGGGCAGGTTGGATGAGTCTTGGAGCAGCCTGGGCTGGTGGGAGGTGTCCCTGCCCATGCAGGGGGGTTGGGACCTGATGATCTTTGAGGTCCCTTCCCACCTTAGCCATTCCCTAGTTCTCAGTCCCGTTTTCATAGAATCATAGAACTGTTCAGGTTGGAAAAGCCCCTTGGGATCACCCAGTCCAACCATCATCCCTGCTCTACAATCTTCTCCCCTAAACCCTAAACCATCTCCACCAACACCGCATCCAAACCACTGCCTGACACCTCCAGGGGTGGTGACTCCACCACCTCCCTGGGCAGCTGTTCCCGCGTCTCTTTCTGTGAGGAGATTTCTCCTCATGCCCAGTCTGACCCTGCCCTGCTCGAAGCCCTTCCCTCTTGTTCTGTCACCGGTTGAAGAGCGACCAGCCCCACCCTGCCCACGAGGACCCTCCAGGGGCTGCAGGGAGCGCTGGGGTCTCCCCTGCCCTGCTCCTCACCACGTTTCCCCCTGCCCAGGCTGCCATGGCGTCCCAGAAGCGCAGCCGGGCGCAGGCCTGGCCGGAGGAGGGCGGGGACCGGGCGCACGGGCTGTACAGCCTGCACCGCATGTTCGAGATCGTGGGGACGCAGCTCACGCACCGCGACGTGCGCGTCCTCTCCTTCCTCTTCGTCGACGTCATCGACGACTACGAGCGCGGGTTGATCCGCAGCGGCCGGGACTTCCTGCGGGCGCTGGAGCGCCAGGGCCGCTGCGACGAGACCAACTTCCGGCAGGTGCTGCAGCTGCTGCGCCTCATCACCCGCCACGACCTGCTGCCCTACGTCACCCTCAAGCGCCGCCGCGCCGGTGAGTCACCCGCTTGGAACAGGGTGGGTTGGGGGGGCCTGGAAGGTCTAGGTCCAACCCCCCGCGTGGTTCCCCCTGGCCCAGGCTGCTCCAAGCCCCACTGGAGATCCTTGAGTCTTCCCAGGGATGGGGCAGCCACCTGGGTCATCCAGGTGACCCTCAAGGTCCCTTCCAACCCAAACCATTCCATGGTCTGAAGACCATCCAGTGCCACCCCCTGCATGGGCAGGGACACCTCCCACCAGCCCAGGTTGCTCCAAACCCCACATTAGATCCTTGAATCCTCCCAGGGATGGGGCATCCACCTGGAAGAGCATTGAATGGATCACCTGGGTGATTTTTAAGGCCCTTTCCAACCCAAACCATTCCATGGTCTGAAGACCATCCAGTGCCACCCCCTGCAGGGGCAGGGACACCTCCCAGCAGCCCAGGCTGCTCCAAGCCCCATCCAACCTGCCCTTCAACACTGCCAGGGATGGGGCAGCCACAGCTTCCCTGGGCAACCTGGCCCAGGGTGCTGCTGGTGACACAGCCCAGGTCATGGGGAGTTTCTGAGCTGCTCTTTTTTCCAGCAGAAAACCCACTCTTGGTTTTTCTGTGGTTGACATGTCAGTCCTGCCACTCACAGAGGGAGAATTCCCATGTCCAAATCCATGTTTTTTCCATGCATTTCCCACCATGATGCCCCAAACCCTCTTCTTCCAGCTGCCCCTTTCTCCCTCACTCTCTTCCTGGCTCCAAGATCCCATCAGTGGGGCTGGAGAATTCCGTGGGTTTGGTCACTTAGTGGCACTGCCAGGCTGAGCTGCTCCCTATGGATTTTTTTTGACCAAACATCTTGGTTTTCAGCCCAAAGAGCTTGGTTTGGGGAGGAGAGAGGAGGGGTAGTGGCACCAGGGTGGGCAAAGCCCCAGGGGACTGGGCTGGAACTGGGAGCAGGATCCTGCCAGGGGGAAAAATGGGCTCCAGTGGCTTGAAAAAGAACAACCCCTCCCAGTGCCAGATTTTGTGGGTTTTGGAGAACAAAAAGCATCTAAAAAAGCTTCAGGAAGAAAATCCCTTAGAGGGATTTGCAGAAGCAGGACGGATGGGTTAATTAGGGGGGGTTTTCTCCAGACTTAACGAGCTGATGCTTGTTCCTGGTTCCCGGCATTGGGTCCCTGTGTCCCTGCAGACCCGGAGCAGCTGCAGGTTTGTCCCCTCCTGCCTCATTCCTGACTCTGGAAAGGAGCAAAATCCAGTCCCAAGGCAGCTGGAGCTGCCCGGGCCAGATGGGGAGAGCAGGATCCACGGCCTGGGATGGCTGCAATTCCAGGGGATGGGAGGGACCCCCTGGGAGAGCAGAGCTGTGAGATCAGGACATGGGACATGAGCAACCTGTGGAAAATGTCCCGACAAGTGCCCTGATGGCTCCTGTGGGGAGCAGGGATGGTTGGAGCTTGTCCAGCCCTGCCCAGCTTGGCTGGAGCTTCGGGATCGGTGCCGGAGCTGGGAGGATCCATCCGGGTGGGAAACAGCCTTTCCTGCCTGGCGAGGGGGTGGATCCCGAGGGGAAGGTTTTCCAGGAGGGTTGGCTGGAGAGAAACGGCTGCTCAGGGGGGGCCCTGTCCCCGCTGTCCCCCCTCCAGGGACCCTGTCCCTTCTCTTCCAGTGTGTCCGGACCTGGTGGACAAGTACCTGGAGGAAACGTCCATCCGCTACGTGACGCCGCGGGCGCCGGGGGGGGCAGAGCACGGCCTCGGCCACCCCCACAAACCAGGTGGGTTTCAGGGGGACCCCTGGCCCTCAATCCGGGGGAAGTTTGGGGGTTCAGTCTGTGGGGATTCATTGGGATCTTCCCGTGATTTTGCCTTGTCTGCTCCTGCTGGGATGGGTGATGTGCTGAAGTGACACCTGGTCCTGGTGCCACCAGCCTGGTGGTTTGGCGGGTGATTGAGTTGGATTGTCCCCAACTGGCTGCTTGGTCCTGGGGTGTCATTTGGGGAATCCCCCCCCCGGGGCTTGGACTGGGGGCTTGAGCTGCCACCCGAGGGAGGGCTGGAGCATGCAGGGGGGGAACAGTGTTCCTGCCGGGATCTGGGGGGTGGGCAGGGCTCCTGAGGTGCCCCCTGACGCTGTGCCCCCCGCAGTGCCTCCCCACCACCCCGTGGTTTGCTGCTCCCCTGCTGGACCCCAGGTCCTGTCCAAGCGGCCGCGGGGCCGGGCCCTCCCGGGCAGCCAGCGCCGCAGGAGGAAGTCGGCGACGCCGGATCCCAAGGAGAAGCAGACCTGTGGTGAGGGCAGGGGCACCCGGGGGCAGGGCCTGCAGGACCAGAGCCCAGCCTCAACCTGGTGCTGACAGGAACCTTTACTAACCCTTGTCCCTCAGTCTCTGTGGTTCCTAAATCCCTCCAGGGATGGGGATTCCACCCCTGGCCTGTGCTGGGGCCTTCAGTGAGGAAATTCTTCCCAATGTCCCTTCTAAACCTCTCCTGGTGCAACTTGAGGCCATTCCCTCTTGTTTCATCACTTGTAACTTCACTGGACAGGCCCATCCCCACCTCTTCACAATCCCCTTGGGTCCAGAGGGAGATGGAGATGATCCAGGGCTAGAGCAGCTCTGGAGCCAGGCTGGGAGAGATGGGGTGTTGAGCCTGGAGAGGAGAAGGCTCCAGGGAGACCTTAGAGCAGCTTCCAGGGCCTGAAGGGGCTCCAGGAAAGCTGAGGAGGGGCTTGGGACAAGGGCAGGGAGGGATGGGATGAGGAGGATGGATGAAAACTGGAAGAAGGACATTTAGGTGAGACATGAGGAGGAAATTCTGGAGTATGAGGGTGGGGAGACCCTGGGACAGGGAAGCTGTGCAAGTTTTGGATGTCTTGTCCCTTGGGAAGTTTTCAAGGGCAGGTTGGATGGGACTTGGAGCAGCCTGGGCTGGTGGGAGGTGTCCCTGCCCATGCAGGGGGTTGGATCTAGATGATCTTTAAGATCCCTCCAAGCCACGTGGGGGGATTTTGGGGGTCCCCAGGGCGCTCACCCCCCTTCCTCTCCCCCCAGACATCCGCCTGCGGGTGCGAGCTGAGTACTGCCAGCACGAGACCGCCCTTCAGGGCAACGTCTTCTCCAACAAGCAGGACCCCCTGGAGCGGCAGTTCGAGCGTTTCAACCAGGCCAACACCATCCTCAAGTCCCGGGATTTGGGCTCCATCATCTGTGACATAAAGTTCTCAGAGCTCACCTACCTCGACGCCTTCTGGCGCGACTACATCAACGGCTCCCTCCTGGAGGCCCTCAAGGGCGTCTTCATCACGGACTCGCTCAAACAAGCCGTGGGCCACCAAGCCATCAAAATGCTGGTCAA